GAAGTCCCAAATCAGTTTCACTGGGCTGAAATCACTTGACAGCAGAATCCTACTCTCTCCAGAGGCTCTAGAGGAGAAGCTGTTTCTTTCATTATCCAGCTTTCAGTAGTTACTAAATTACTCAGTTCAAGGCAGCACCATTCCAGTCTCTGTCTCAGTGGTCATGCTGCCCCTCCTCTCCTGTCTGTGAACTCCTCCTGCCTAGCATTTACAAGGATGCATGTAGGGCCCACCGGGATAATGCCTGATAATGTCCCCACATCAAGATGATAAAATAATTACCTCTGCAAACATTTTGTCTTATGTATTCACAGGTTTCAGGAATTTGGTCCTGATGTCTTGGGGAACATTATCAAACCTAAAGCAACCTCCTATGATGCTATTTTTCAATTTTTATTTTATTTTATGTTGCCAGATTATTATTTTCTCTACTGAAATATACTGGTATAAATGCTAGTACCATTTTCCAAGTTTTGTGATATTTTTCTCCCAGAGATGCTTATACACTAGAAAAGTCTACCTTCCAATTTTACTTCACTCATTTTCTTTCTTGCCTTCTGATTACCAAAGCCCAATCTTCATGGAAAAGCTCATGCTAGCACTAACTCACAACCTCACAAATACTTGCAATGATTATAAAACATGCTGTCATTTTTTAAAAAAACAAATTGTTTATTTCATTGTATTTATCTATGTAGCTGTCTATCTATCGATTTATTTATTTATTTTGCCACAGGGCATGTGTGCTCACAGAGAGAGAGAGAGAACAAGTGAGAAAGCGAGCTGCCAAGTCCGCTCATGTGGGAGACCCGCACCTTCACCGCCATGCCAGCTGCTGGCCTCACATGGCTTCAGATTTTAAGCTGCCTCTAAGTGGAAGACAACTTTCTCTTGGCAATCTGCTAATGCCCTTTACTGTGGCATTTAAGCAACTTTATTGACAGTGTTGGCTTTAAAATTATTGAGAAAGTTACTTAAATCATAAGATACATCTCTACCTACCATAATTGAAATGATAAAAAAACAAGATAGAATTGACTATAAAAACTACTCAAAACAATCAGGAAAACATATAAATAAATGACAACTTCAATAAATACTGGCCAGATTTTTTTTTTTTTGAGAGGTTTTTGCTATAGGGCACGTGCGCTCGCCAGCCAGACAGAGAGAGACATAGAGAGAGAAAGCGAGAAATCATCCCCCAGGGGGGATGGTCACGCCGCAATCCCTTCTCCTCCATTCTCCTCTCGGGATCTTGGGCACGCACGCACACGCGCCGGCGTGAGTTTAAGCTACCGGGTCTGGGACGCGAACCGCGGTCGGCTACATGGGAGTCCAGCGACATAGCCATTACGCTAACTGCTGGTTCTCAATACTGGCCAGATTCTTGGACCAATGCTTCGAAAAGGAGGGCATACAAATGACCAATAAGTATATCTTCTTTAAAAATCAGGAAAACATTCATAGAAACATAAAATGAGATAAAACAAAAATCCATCATAATGCTTAAATTTAAACAATATCAAATGACTGAATTAGTGGCGCAACAGGAATTCTAGAACATTATGAGAAATTAAATTGGTATAACCACTTTTGGAAAATTCGTATCCTACAAAAGTAGAACCTCAGATATATGCTACCTTGATATTACTCTTCCTTGGTCTATGTTCATCAAAAACATTTGTAGCATTTTTGAAAAAATAATTTATTAATTAACTAAAATTTTATCAGAGATGGAGAGAGTGAGAGAGAGGGAGAAAGAGAGAGAGGGGAAAAATGAGAAAGCAAGCCGCCAGTTCTGGGACTCAAACCATGGTCTATTATGTGGGGGTCCAGTGCCCTTAACTACCACACCACCTGCTGGCTCCCATTTATAGCATTTCTATAGAAATAGTAAAAAACTGGAAACAACTCAAATGCTCGTTTACATAAAATTCACAAATATTTATATAATATTTATACATTAGAATATTGTGAATGAAATTAACCTAATACTTCAAATAGAAATGTGAATAATTCTCACAAAGACGAATTTCATAAATAGAAGTAAAAATAATGCATATTTTATCTGTATAAAATCTAACTCCAGGGACCAGAAGTTTGCGTAATTACTATGTTGCTGGACTCCCACCTAGTCGACCGCGGTTCGAGTCTCGGACCCGGTGGCTTAAACTCACGCCGGGCGCATGTGCGTGCGTGCCCAAGATCCCAAGAGGAGAACGGAGGAGAAGGGATTGTGGCGTGGCCATCACCCCTGGGGGGTGATTTCTCACTTTCTGTCTCTCTGTCTCTCTCTGTCTGTCTGGCGAGTGCATGCGCCCTATAGCAAAAACCTCTCCCCCCACCCCCTCCAAAAAAATCTAACTCCAAAAAACTGATTGAGAATGATACAGATCTGGTGAATTTTATGCCTTCAAAAAGTGGTAGTTCTTGGGAGCGGGCCTGATCAGTGCTTCTGGCTCGGGTGTCAACATGATTCTTTCATTGAACTGGGGATGGGCGTGTGAGTGGTCACTCCTCTGAGATTAAAGGGTAGGAAAAGAGAACAGTGACTGTGGGCTCTGGCACTGTACCAGGTGATCTGGTTTCCTTTTCAGCTGATTCCAGTGATTACTCAAGCTACCTTCCTTTGGGAACATTTTAACTTTCACTATTTTTTATCATAATTAGTACCACTAGATTAATTATCCTGCTTCCCCTCTCAAAGCCCATGGTTTTCTTATTCACCATGGTATCACTTAGATTACTCCTATTTCATGCCGCATGAAACATGCTCAATAAATAATTATTAATAAAAGAAACTGTACATACCATGGTTTACATAAAGTCTATCCATAACTTTCATGTATTAAAAGTCAAACATGCTCCTTACAAAATTTGTCATGCTGCTAAAACTATTGGGTCATCAGAAAATTCATAACTTTTTAAACACATTTTTGCATAAAAGAACTGTCATAACTGTTCCATTGACCCAATACCACATGCTGTGTTGACCTTCTCATGATGTGGACAGTGAGGCTACATGTGATGACACAGGCCCATGTCCATGAGTATCCAGACCACACAGGGGCATAATTTATGTCAGGGTTCTTTTTAGGCTTCTCCTAAAGAACCTTCTTCTGAAAGAGCTACATTCTCCTGTCTCTCTACTCATTAAATCTGCTACAATGGAGTGATGACCAAAATGAAATGAACAGGGACAGATAGAATTTTTAGATGACCTCCATGGACCCTTCATTGTAACCAGCTTGGTTTGCATGTGACGCTTTGGCTCTGACTTAGTAAGATAGCATGTAGTTATCTTTGTAGCCGCATTTTCACCAGTTTCTGCAACAAAATTCACACAGATGTGAAATCGTTTTGTATTCTTTATTGGTAGGTTGCTTGCTACTGTGAAGTTTGTTGAATATTTGCCATTTTTTAAGTATAGTGAGCTTCTGTTTTTATGAGTTTATTAGAAGTGGTAGTGTAGAGTCTAATAAGAGACTCCTTCCATGAAGTTAATATCCCAGTTTCCTTTCCTGCCCATGGCCTCCTTTCTTTGGCCAACTAGAAGAATAGGGAGATGCATTTCCTAATAGGAGGGGAAACATATTTTACTTGAGAGTTCAAATTCTGAAGCCAGTGTTTGGAAGTTATGTGTTTTCAGATTAAATTTGCATTATTCAGTGGTCTAAAACAAAACAAAACAAAACAAAGTAAACCAAAACAAAAGTCAAGCAATCTTTAAAGTAATCCTGTATTGTGTTGGCATTGCCTTCACAAAAGCAAATAATCAAAATAAATCCTTCCCAGAAGTATCCACCATCAATCTTGACCTAAAAAATGCTCCACATAAAGATATGAAGAAATCGAGGTCTTAGTCAAAAAGACAGATAAAGAAAAGCATAAAGGAGATAGACAGACAAGAAGGATAATCATAAGAAGAAGGGTAAAAGGAAAGAGAAAAAGTGGTGGAGAAGGAGGAAAAAGACAAAGAGGAACAGTAAGTACACATATCGTAGTGTTGCACTGAAAAGTAGCACAAGTACATACCACTAGTATAGGTCACTTTACACACACAAAAGTAAAAGTTAGAAGAACAAGCAAGAAGAAAAGTAGAAGAAAACAAGTACTGTTAGCCAAAATGAGCAGAAAAACTAGCTTTCAGTATTACAAACTCCCAGACTCCATGTTTTAGAGTCATTAGACATATGTATAAAATATTTAAGAAATAAACGGAAAAAAGTGGGGACCTAAAACATGATTACGGCAAAAGAAACTTTTTAGATCATGACGTAGATTTGAAAAGGAACTAGTAAAATGCACAGAAATGGAAAATGTAACTGACATCAAAACTCAGTGGTCGGCTTTAAAACGAGGACAGGCATGACTGAGGAGATGCTGAGTACACTGGAAGGAAGTTCTCCAGAATGAATCCAAAAGCCAACACAAAGGGCCAAAAAGATGGATAACAGTATATAAGTTTCTCCTTTTTGCACATTTTATAAGACTTCAGGCAATTTAACAATTGAAATTACTTTCCAAATCCTTTATTTTATTCTATATTCTACTGTTTTAAAGTTTAATTTTTGTCTTTCATGTAATAGATCAACAGAGTGACACAGGCTGCCTCAGCAGGGTTTCCTCATGCTTCCGTCCCTCCCCCCAGACCCAGCATTCCTTCCAGCCAGGATCACTGGTGCACATGTGTGCACCTGGCATGTTTCTCAAGCCTGGTGAGGTTCAGGTCATCTGGGCAGGACCCTAACAGGACGGCGGTCTTCCTGGCCCCAGCTCTGGAGAGCTGTGCCCTGCAAGGCTGGGCCCACTTACTGGCATTCTTCTCTGTGTGTAATAGTCACTCACAGAGATAGAAACAAACTTACATTTTATGTACATAAACATAGAAGCAGGTTATTTTCAGAGTAAGCAAGAAGTATTAAATGGCTGAAACAAGCCAGACTGCTGCTTAAACAAAGATGACAAACCATCGTGAATCTGGACAGTATGATACTCACAGTAAGAGCAGCCATAGACCTCGACGCGGAGTCCAATGCGGCCTTCCCCGTTCCAGTCCAGCGGCACCATGCGCACGTAGCGGGCGACCACCGGGTGCTGCAGGTCATGCCGGACCACGCTGTCAGAGTTGATGTTTCCAGGAAATGCCTGCAAAGGGAAATGGGATGAAAAATTGAGATCCATGTTTTACAAACAGCAGTGTTATCTGTGCTCAACTCCCATTTCCTTCTGCAGAGGCAGGTTTACTCTCACATCATGAACCATTTGAAGAAAGCATCTATCCAGTTTCCCTGAATGGCCTTTTGCAAAGCTAGAGAACAATATCACAGCCCAGATAGTGATATCAATCGTAAGACTATGAAATATTTTTTTTTCTTTTTCTTAATTGCCAGAGGGCATAAGCACTGTCCAGAGATAAAAAGACAGAGAGATCTTATTGAATGTTGTTGACAATGAAGAAATGGTATTATTCTTGCTGTATTACACACGGCATGCATGCTTTGAAAATAAATACTATACCCCTTGAAGATGTACAACAATTTAATGTAAATAAGAAATTATGACATAAAATAGAAAAAGGAGGGAGAAGGAAGGAGAAAGCACCACCTGGTAGGGCAGCCTCGCCAACATCCCTTCTCCATTTCTCCATTATGTCAGGATTTGGAGAATGGACACATACCCTGAATGCTTCTCAAGCCATGGGTCTGGGACTGGAACCATGGTGGGCCATGTGGGATCTGGCTTCCATAACCACTGGGTTACTGGGCCAGCCTGAGAATACGAATCTTTCTATCATCACAAGGACAGCCCCAGCTCTTTTCACAGCCACATCTCCTTCCCCTCACCTCTGCTCCTCTATAACTTACAGCAACCAGTAATGCATTAGATCATGAGTCAGAGCATGGATCCATCGCTAAGTCTACTCAGAGCCAGCTGCAGCCCTTCGGCTGTCACTCCTAGTCACCCACTATGACTTCTAGGAAACTGTGCCCCAGGGAGTGATCTTTGCTGCCAGTTGCCTTCTGAGTCCTCTTGTGGTTACTATAAAAAAAATGCAATGGAGTTCTCAGAGGTTCCAAAGCTGTTTGTTTTTTACATTTAAAATGATTTTTAAAAAGCTTATCCCTTCTAGAAGCCCACCCCCCAGACTTGCCTTCCTAATTTGCATATATAACTTATTGGTCTGATCTGGAGATAAGTTACCTTGGACTCCTCTTATTTCCCTAAACCTCCTATCCCAGTCCCAACTTAAACTCCTCTGAGAACCTTTCTCATTTGAAATACCATCTCTTTTGTTTTCTTTATAGGCTTATTATTAACACTTCATATCCATTATCTAGTGACAGTCACAAATTTGCTCATCAGTGGTGACAAATCAAACAGTCTATACTCCGGTGAGTACTAAATTCAGAAATCAAAGCATAACTGGGTTTTCAGAAATGAAAGCAGGGGCCAGCAGGTGGCACGGAGTTTAAGGTGGCTAGATCCCACTTGGCTCACTGTGTGAGGTGGATATGCATGTGTGCCCAAATCCCCAGAAAGGCATGGAGGAGGGATGTGTATGGCCGTCCTCCCAGGGGGTGAAGTCTCTTTCCCAATCTCTCTCTCATTCTCTCTTTCCCCAGTAAGCATACATGCCCTATAGCAGAATTTAAAAAGAAAGGAAGGACAAAAAATAGCAAAACTTGGATTTTTCTAAGCACATTCAAATTTATATAAAGTTTTAAATTGAAGAGATAATTATTGTGGGGATATAAAACTGTTCTATATCACAATTGTACCTCTGATTACATGAACCTATGGGAGTGGTAAAACATGGATGAGGGAGTCTTTGTAAAGTTCAAGGGAGGGACCAGCAGATGGCATATTGATTACTTCACTAGACTCCCACATGGCCGACTGAGGTTTGAGTCCCACACATGGTGGCTTGAAAATCACACCAAATGCATGTGCATGCATGTCTAAGATCCCAGGAGAAGAATGGAGGAAAAGGGATTGTGCTGTGGCCATTCCCCCGGGGAGTGATTTCTCACTTTCTCTCTCACTGTCTCTATCTCTCTCTCTCTAGCAATTGCATACACCCTAAGGCAAAAACCTCTTTAAAAAAAAGTTCATGGTAAATGCATATTATTAAAACCTGTACTTGGATTTCAACTTTTTTTACATCAAGATAAACTTGTACTCAATTTCACTTTCCATGAACTTTTGAAGTCCCTTGTACACACACACAAATAAAAAGTGCACATAAAAAGCAATTAAATCAGGGGTCATCTGGTGACATGTTAGTTAAGACACCTGGATCCTACATGGCCAACTGTGTGGTTTGAGTCCTGGACTTGGTGACTTGAAAAACACAAAAGCACATGTGCACGTGTGCCCGACCCTGAGAGAAGGATGGAGGAGAAGGGACTACAAGGTGACCATTCCCCCCGGGCAGTGGGTCTCCATCCTCTCCCAACCCCAACAAGTGCATGTACCTTACAGCAATGATTTGTGCTTGTTTGTTAGGTTTTTGCCACAGGGCATGTGCACTATCCTATGTGAGGAGAGTTAAAAAAAAAAAAAAAAAAGGAGAGTAAAAGTGAGAAATCACACTTCATGGGGGTTGGCCATGCTACAATTCCTTCTCCTCCATTCTTCCCTTGGGATTTTGGGCATGCATGCACACGTGCCCAGTGTGAGTTTCAAGTTGCCAGGTCCGGGGCTATAACATGGTAAGCTATGTGGGAATCCAGCACCTTAACCATTATGCCACCTACAAGCCCCATAGAAAACAATTTTAAAATAGTTAAATCAGAATAAAGTCTGTAGTTTAATTATTAATATTATGTGACTAGAAATTGTCTGGTTCTCATGACCATATGAAAATTGTAAAGGATGTTATTGTTGGAGGCAATGGAACAGAGGTACATAGGAACTTTACTTTTTTGGCAGCTATTATGTGAATCTCAGATTACTTCAAAATAAATAAAAAGTAAAGACAAAATACATCACACATATAAATTACCATGTGATTTAAAGTCTCTATCGCCTTCCTTTGGCATGCGTGTGCATACATTACACATGTATATCTCAGAGAGCTCAATGCATACTCTTGTTTGACATAGATTATATGGTTTGTAAACCTAAATGTATTTACATTGCTTGGAAATCCTCTGTGAATACAAAACATAAGAACGGATTCTGGGCTATACATGAAAGAATTATAACACAGAGATGCCTTTGTGAAACACAGGTATATAGATCATTTCTGAGTAGGAAAAACATGACAGTAGGAAACTAATATGAAAACTATATAAATGTGATGATAGCAGTCAAATATAGAAGTTTATTTTTTCTTATTATCAAACTATTAGTGAATCTAACTTTAAAAACCACATTATAAATGACACATGCTTGTTCTAGTGATCTTATTTCTTGTTCAGATTTGTAAAATGTCTTGACATTTTGTTTATATATTTCGAGGAATGTTTTTTCATATTTACAACAAGGATTAATTATAAAAATTATATGTAATCTCAAATATTTGGCTTGTTCTTTTTTAAAAATATAGGAACCAGCAGATTGTGTAATGGTTACATTGCTGGACTCCCATACAGTCAACTGCAGTTCAAGTCCTAGACCCAATGGGTTGAGACTCATGCAAGAGTGTGTGCATGCATGCCCAAATCTTGAGAGGCAAATGGAGGGGAAGGGATTGTGGCATAGCCATCCACTCTGGTTGGGGTGTGATTTCTTGCTTTATGTTTCTGTCTCTCCAGTGAGCACATGTGCCCTATAGCAAAAATTTCTCTCTCAAAAAAAAAAAATTATTTATTTCTCAAGTGAGTGAAGAGACAGAGAGAGTGCCCCCTAAACAAGATCTTGACGTTATGACCTACTCCCAGCCCTAGCCTGCCCTGAATCATGAGCAGTGTGTGCTCAGTATGTACAGGGAATTTTCTGGACATGAACCCAGAACCTTTCCATGAGAGTTAGCCTTGCAGAGGTCATATCTCACTGCAGTGTCACTATCCAGCCCTTGCTTTACATTTTTTTTTTTTTGAGAGATTTTTCACTGTAGGGCGCATGCGCTCGCCAGACAGAGAGAGACATAGAGACAGAAAGCGAGAAATCACCCCCCAGGGGGGATGGTCACGCCGCAATCCCTTCTCCTCCATTCTCCTCTCGGGATCTTGGGCATGCACGCACACGCGCCCGGCGTGAGTTTTAAGCCACCGGGTCCGGGACACGAACCACGGTCGACTACGTGGGAGTCCAGCGACATAGCCATTACGCTAACTGCTGGTTCCCGACCCTTGCTTTACTTTTGTAACATCTCATCTGTATTAGAGCTTTTACTGCATTTTCTTTTCCTTGTTTTTCACCATGATGGTATCATGCTAACTATCCTTTTACCTGAATAGTTCCATAGGATATTTTTCAAAGACAAGTTGAATGAAATGGAGTTGAATAGCACCAGTTTTTTTTTCTAAAAGTAACCTAATAGGTATTAAGCCTTATTTTTTGGACACTTATTCAAAAGGGAGGATTTAAAAGAAGCTTTCTAATTTTCTATTCCCCAGAATGCCTGGTTGTGCATAATTGGCTAACAAAACCCACTGCTTATTAGCTTTGTTTCAGTGCTTCAGAAAAAAAAAATCCATAATATTATTACAAACTTGCACCTATTACCCTGATTGCTTCAAGAAAGAAAAAAAAAACAAACAAAAAACAAACCCAAACAAACTAAACCAAAGCAAAAACACTACTTTCTCTGCATAAATTGCATTACAATAGCTTTAAATCAGAGCACTTATCTTTAATGTTCTCTCCCTTCCACATTGCCCCTCCTTCCCCTACTTAGTTGAGAAAACTGTGTTCAGAAGCTAAAAAGTAGTGGTCATCAGTTTGAAGTTTTAAATTATTCAATTCCAAAAGCAAATAAAATTTTCATATGTTCAGGGGAATCTAGCACAGCTCTACAGATACCCATCACATTGCACAAGAAAATAGATAACCTTCCATTATCAAAGAAAGCTTTATTACAGATGGAAACTGCAGTGTAGATTTTCTGTAAATCAGAGATTTCATCAGCTTCTTGTCTCAGGTTTAACTACAAAACCCTGTGATTGTATATGTATGACTTCAATATAACAAATATATTT